CACGGCCTCAGCATGGCCAGAGAAGCGGTTCCTCGGTGTGCGCCCGGGATCCGAACCCCGGGCCGCCAGCAGCAGAGCGAGCACACTTAACCGCTAAGCCACGGGGCCGGCGCAGTATTGTTAACTATAGTCACCGTGCTGTACATTACATCCCCATGACTTATTTATTCTATAACTGGAATTTTGTACCTTTTGACCCCCTTCACCCATTTTGCCCACCCCCGACCTGGGATAATTTCTTAAAAGTAGAATAGCCAGGTCTAAGATTATGTACATTTTAATTTTTATGGAAAGTGTCCCATTTTCCTGCCAAAAGATAGTGCCAATTTATATTCTCAACAATGTACAATATTGCCCGTTTCTTCTCTACTCGCACTAATTGTTCTCAAGTATTATCAAGTGTTTTAATCTGTCAGTATGATACAAAGTGGTATCTCATTGTTTTTCATTTACAATTAAGAATGTGGTTTGGCTTCTTTACACATATATTTATTGGCCACTTAGTATTTCTTTTCCTTTGAGTTGGCTGCTCAAGTCCTTTCTGGGTTTACAAATTGAATTGTTTTCCTTATTCCTTTCAGTGAGCTCTCTCTATTGAAGCATAATTACAGTGTGGTAGTCGCTTTATTAAAAGTGTGTACAAAGTAATAGGAGCATAGGAGGGGCCTTCCCCCTCTAGGAGAGTAGGGAAATCATTCACAGAAGGAGTTGACATTTGACCAAAGTCTTGAAAAGTTGGGTGAGAAGGAGTCTTCAAGGTTTTATGTGCTGTGTTAAGGACTTTTGACTTTCCTTCTAGGTAAAAGGCAGCCATCAGATACTTTAAAGCAGAGAAATAACAAATTTATGTTTTTAAAAGAAATTACGATAGCTTTATGGAGGATGCTTAGCAAGCAGGAGTGACTGGACCCAGGAATACCAGTTAGATGATTTCAGAAAAACATGGGAAATCATTAGGGCCTAAGCTAAGGCAGTAGTGATGGGAGTAAAAGGGAGTAGAGAGATGTTTCAGAAATGGAGCAGACCGGGCTTCTGGTGACTTTTTGGATGTTTTAGTGAGGCAGAGTGAAAGAGTACCTTGAGCTGAGACAGCTGGATGGAAGATGATCCCATTACTGTTAGGAAATATAGGAAGAGGAGCCCATATGCATGGGATTTGGATTGTTGTATAAGGAGCCCATGGAACTCCCAGATGAGGATGTCCAGTAAGCATTTGAAAGTTGTTTAGAGCACAAGTGAATCAAGATTTGGAAACACTGGGACATGTAGCATAGGTGGTAGCTGAGGTTATGGGAGTAAATCTTTCTTTGTAAGGGAGAATTTCTGGTATCATCCTGACATTTAGTATAGCAAAAAAGAGAATTGGGTTGAAGTGTAGACCATGGTCTCTTTACAGTGCATCAGAATTGCTTGTGAAGTCTGTGGTATGTTTAAATACAAGTTCTTCAAATATAATTATATTTTAAATATACACAGAATTAGCTGAAACTACATTTGAAAAGCATTAAAAATTATAATTAAAAGCTAAAGTCCTTGTAACAGCTATGGAGCTGTTTCTTCAAAAGAATTTTTACATGACAAATAGATTGAGAGGTTGGTTTCATAGTATCTTCCTCCCTGAGATTGTTATTCATGAACTTAAACGCTGAGAATTATTAGTTGTAGAGCAAAGTTTAAATCATGTATAATTGTATTTTCAGTTGTCAAGTATTAATATCTATGTCATGATACTATGCTAGATTCTGAGTGGTATATTATAAAGAAGTTAAGAGTATTAAATTTTACATTTCTACTTGAGGAAAATAAAGCACATATGTGAAACATTTGAATAATCAGAGATAGTATGTGATTATGTGCTAGAATGAGTAATATAAGTTAGTCCTAACTTATAAGTTAGGAAAAGGGACCATATTAGAGTCAGAGGAGGCCTTGTTGAAGGAAAGAATTTAACTTATGTTGGGTGCCTTCTGTATACTGGGCATTCACTCTGCAGGGTAAGCTGCTATCTCTGTGTTTACTGATGAGAAATTTCTCTTCAGAAAAAGTAACTTGCCAAGATTCACAACTAGATTTGTTTCATTCTAAAGCCCATGTATTTTTCCCAGTGAGACTTAATACACAAAGATGGACAGAATTAAAGTCACTAAATATTTTTTAGCAATACTTGCTTATCTTGCTCAAAATCGGATTGTTCAGCCTGAGTTTGTTTTAGGATCATGTCTTACAACCGAAGACACTTTTATTATTCCTTATCTTTTCCCATTTTAAATGAAATCCCTTGTTTTGAAAAAACTTCATAAACAACAACAGAGCTTCTGAACAGCATTGAGCTAATCCAGTTGTCCTATTAAGGTGGTAAAATTTTTATCAAATTCAGGAGGTTTTGATCCTTTGTCCTCTAAAAGCTTATCATTGAGAGGCATGTTATTTGTTAATTGTTTTTGGAATTTGAAAATACCTGGAAGATGCATAACAAACTCGCACATGACCACAGTCCTTTCTCACTATTAGTTTAGCAAAACCATGGGAGCCTGGGAGTCCTAGAGGGAGCCTCATCCTGTGAAATCCAAGGAGTCCTGAGAGCATTTCAGAAATCAGGGGTTTAGAGGTTAAGGAGAAAGAAGGGTGTGAAAAGATAAGTGTAGTTGGCAAAAAACATGATTATTTGCTCTTCTGAAGTGTAGATTTCTTTTTTTTTCCCTATACAAAAGTCAGTTTTTTAACTTACTTTTTTAATACTGAGATACTTTAAAGATTACAAATACAATGATGACATACTACCTCTAAAACATTTCAGTTTGCAAAGAAACGTTTTTCTAACTGACAGAAGTGACGTTATCACATGTAAAGAATTATTAATTATATTAATAACCAATCCATGTTGAAATTTCTCCACTTGTTTCAAAAATATCCTTTTTAACTGTTATTTCCAAGTAAGATGATGCATTGCATCTGGTTGTTATATCCTTTAAGTCTCTTAATTTACAACAGCTCAAGAGATTGGCTACTTGTCTAGTAGAAAAGGTCTTCTCAAACTCTGTCTACAGATCACTTGCAAATCTTGTTATGATGCAGGTTTCGAATCAGTAGCTCTAGGGTGGGGCCGAAGCATCAATGTTTCTCACAAGCTCCCAGGTGATGCCAGTGCTGCTGACCCATTGATCACACCGAGTAATAAGGCTCTGAAAAGTCCCACCTCCAAATTTGTCTGATTGTTTTCTCCTGGTGTCTTTTAGTTAAAATTTATTTAACTTGGAAGATATGAATCTATAGGCTTGATTAGATTTAAGTTAATTGTTTTTGGCTGATAGCATACATTGTAGCTCATGAGTACTTCTTCCTACATCACATCAAGAAACAGTATCTGATTGTCTCATCATTAGTGATGCTAAATTGAGCACTTGATTGGGGTAGTAGCCATATGATCTTTCCTGGTTACAGGGAAGGTTAGGTGTTTCTGCTTGCAACCGAGAAGTTATCTGTGTGGTATTTCCAGTTCTCTAAACCATTCACTGGTTGATAATCCTTGCATGAATCAGTAATGTTTCAGAGGTTGGAAGTGATGATTTTCAATTGAAATTTGTTCTATTTTTACTAACTGCCATTCTTTTTTTTTTTTAATATAATTTTATTTATTTATTTATTTTTTCCCCCAAAGCCCCAGTAGATAGTTGTATGTCATAGCTGCACATCCTTCTAGTTGCTGTACATGGGACGCGGCCTCAGCGTGGCCGGAGAAGTGGTGCGTTGGTGCACGCCCGGGATCCGAACCCGGGCCGCCAGCAGCGGAGCGCCTGCACTTAACCGCTAAGCCACGGGGCCAGCCCTCTAACTGCCATTCTTTTGTAAAGTAGAGCTTTCCCTCATCAACTGGGGCTTTTTTGTTACCCTAAAAGACAGCTCCTGCTGAAAAAGCAGGGTAAATGCTTAATTCTTTCCTTTATTTTCCAATTTTCAAAGTAAAGAGTCCAAAAGCCACCCAAATGGTGACAAATTGGTTTTATCTAATTTTTTCCTTTGTTTTTTCATTATTGTATAGAAACTTGGATTTTCATAGAATCAGTGTGTTTTAGTTAACTTTTTTTTTTGAGGTAACATTGGTTTATAACATTATATAAATTTCAGGTGTACATCATTATATTTCGACTTCTGTATAGACTACATCGTGTTCACTGCCAAAAATCTAGTTGCCATCCGTCACCATACACACGTGCCCTTTTGCCTTGTTCCTACTCCTATCTTCTCTGGTAACCACCAGTCTATTCTCTGTATCTATGTGTGTGTTTTTTTATCTTCCACATAAGTGAAATCATAACGGTATTTGGCTTTCTCTGTCTGACTTATTTTACTTAGGATAATAAGTGAAAGTCCATCAGCCCTCAAAGTCCATCCACGTTGTTGCAAATGGCAAGATTTCATCCTTTTTTTATGACTAAGTAGTATTCCATTGTATATACATATACCACATCTTTTTTTTTTTGCTGAGGAAAATTCTCCCTTAGCTAACATCCATTGGTAGTCTTCCTCTTTTTGTATGTGAGCCGCTGCCACAGCATGACCAATGACAGACGAGTGGTGTAGGTCCATGCCCGGGAACTGAACCTGGGCTGCCGAAGCAGAGCATGCCCAACTTAACCACTAGGCCACTGGGGCCGGCCCCCACATCATCTTTATCCATTCATTCATTGATGGGTACTTAGGTTGTTTCCACATCTTGGCTATTGTGAATAATGCTGCAGTGAACATAGGGGTGCATATATCTTTTCAAATTAGTGTTTTCATGTTCTTTAGATAAATACCCAAAAGTGTAATATTCTAGATTGTATGGTAGTTCTATTTTTAATTTTTTGAGGAATCTCCATACTGTTTTCCATAGTGGCTGCACCACTTGACATTTCCACCAACAGTGTATGAGGGGTCCCTTTTCTTCATATCCTCTCCAACACTTGTTGTTTCTTGTCTTTTTTTTTTTTGTGAGGAAGATTAGCCCAGAGCTAACAGTCTTTTTTTTTTTTTTTTTTTTTAGGAAGATTAGCCCAGAGCTAACATCTGTTGCCAATCCTCCTGTTTTTACTGAGGAAGATTGGCCCTGGGCTAACATCCGTGCGTATCTTTCTCTGTTTTATATGTGGGATGCCTGCCACAGCATGGCTTGATAAGTGGTGTGTAGGTCCACACCCAGGATCCAAACCTGTGAACCCCAGGCTGCCCAAGCGGAGCGCTCGTACTTAACCACTACACCCCCGGGCCAGCCACTTGTTTCTTGTCTTTTTAATACTAGCCATTCTGATGGGCATGAGGTGATAGTTCATTGTGGTTTTGATTTGCATTTCCCTAATAATTAGTGATGTTGAACATCTTTTCATGTGCCTGTTGGCATCTGTATATCTTCTTTGGAAAAATGTTCAGATCCTCTGGCCATTTTTTAATCGGGTTGTTTGTTTTTTTTGTTGTTGAGTTGTATGAGTTCTTCTTATATTTTGGTGGTAACCCCTTGTCAGATATATGATTTGCAAATATCTTCTCCCAGTTGTTAGGTTGTCTTTTTGTTTTATTGAGGGTTTCTTTTGCCTTGCAGAAGTAACATTCTTTTTGATGCTCAGATTGTTACAACTTTGGCTACTGGTTGTCTTTTTGAACTGCCTCCAGTCTTATCCTTTTGACCTTTGAATGATATCGTATTTGCTTGCTCAACAAGATAATCCACACTTTTTGTGCTTTCTCTGCTCTAGGCATGGAGCTAGCTGTTTCTCCAAGGACCCTTGGATGATATTAGAAATGAAAATCTAGACTTTAGGGATGTCTTTGATACTGAGTGACATTGTTTGTAGGCCCGGCCTGTGAACTGAGCTAGAATATATGATTTTTTCAAATCATGATATCATATTAATATTTTCCATTCAATTCCAACAATATTTTTACTTAATTTTGTATGCTTGTATTTTTGTTGTTGTTGTTACACTTGGTTCCTTAGAGTGGTAGTTCTCAGACTTGAGCATTCATCAGAATCACCTGGACTGCTTGTTAAGCTTGTAAATACTGTCTTTAATTTGTAACCAATGTAAATTTTTTTGAGCTGCAAATTTCACACCTTTTACACTATTTCTAAAGTGTTTACTCATGCATGTATAAACATGTTAAATTGTAGAATTCCAGAAGATTTTGCATGGTGGCTGCAACATTACAGTAACCAAGATGAGATCTTTTCCCACCCTAATTGCAAAAAGTTTCATTTTAATTGTTACCTCTTAAAGGATTATTTTTAAGGTTAGTTAAAAAACCTAAACAAGATAAGAGGCATTTATTATTAGATGATATTCTTGCATGTGTCTTCATTTTTTGAACTTAATGGTAAAGTTGAAGGAAAATGCTTTTTAAATGATTTTGAATCCAACATGCTCATAATAGTCAGGCAAGTTAAAACTTTCTCTTTTCTTCCAGATAAAGCTTCACCAAGAAGGTTGCCCAGGAAACGGGCACAGAAGAGATCAGTGGGATCTGATGAGTAAATGTTCCTTTGTGCAACAATTCAGTCTTTACTTAACCTGCCCTAATATTTTTCGGCCTGATGGGAATTAGTGCAGAGAAGCCATATCACCATAGAAGGCAACTACTCCTTATGTGTGGACTGAGCAATCAGAGTCTGTGGCGATAATATTGCTGAAAATGCACTGCATTCATTTTTCTAAAGTAACAAATTTGGTTTTTTTTTAAACCATTAAAATCTGTGTGTGCGTGTGTATGTATGTGAGCAGTTGGTCTTACCAGAATCATTGTTGAACTACCTGAAGCATGCCTTTAGAATACTAAATATAATGGAGTTGTCTCTTCCTTTTAGACATTTTTCCCCAAAACTCAATGAATATTTGCCCAATATGATTATAGATGTCCTGCCTTGAACTATTTTAAAGAAAACAATTTGTTTCTTCCTTAGAATAGCTCAGGTTCCAGTTGATGGCGCAGATTAGCATTTTGATGTTATTGTTGCTGTTTTAAAACTAGTATTCTAAAGGCACAGGCAGGAGCAGCTGCTTTTTAGCAATAGAATTGATTTGGTATTTTGCTGCTGTTTACTGTAATGCGCACCTTCAGAAAACTTCCCAAATGAGTTCAAGGAATTTGGGGATCTCTGTAGCAAGAAAATTGTGAAACATGAAAATTCTGCTGATCTTGATGTATAAAACCAACCCCACTCCCTTTTTTATCAAAAAGAAGGTGGTACATTTATGGGAACTGAGTTGTTTTGTCCATCATTGCTCTGTTTCTGACCCGAGGGATAGCTCTGGAGAGATTTTAGACCTACTGAGTTTTGTTTTAAGATCATTTTTCTCTCTTTAATAGAAGCACCTTGCTTAAGAAAAGTTGCCTTGGTCTACAGACTAAGCAAAAGGTAAATTTATAGGGGCAGAGATATATTTCAACTGATCCTGATCTGTAAAGAAAAAAAAGGGGATATTTTTACAATGGTTAACCAATTGTTTTTTTATTTAATCTGTTGGGGATTTTGGTTGTTGATATAACCTTTTTATAGTTAATCTGAAGAATCCAAAATTTTAAGCACTTAAGATCTGAGAACCAAAATTAAATTGGACTTCATAGAATTGGCTTAGAGACTTACTCTGGCCCTAGGTAGTAAAAGTTTGGCATTATTGTCAGACTGGATGAAGGGTAAAGTAAAATAGTATGAACAAATAAGAGGCTTTTCCCCCTCTGTCTTTAAGCCATATTCTCCTATATATATTTTGTAAGGAAATGGTAAACGAAATTTTGGTGGCTGTTTGATTCCTGATCTGTTTTCATTATAATGAACTGATCCCTCTTCATTATAGTTTACCCTACCCACACCAAAACAACAAAACAAAACACGCAAACAAAAAATCTTTCCAAGTTGTTTAAGTATTTAAACATCTGAGCCAAAGCCAATGACAGTAAAATAGAAGTTATTGTATAGTTGTTAATCGCTTTGCAAGTAGGGGCTAAGGTGTCAAATTTATATTGGCATTGCTGAACTATAAACTTTCTATGCCTGTAATGTAAAGTGTTTGAGTTTTTAATTGGGCTGTATGATCAGTAGTTTATTTTGGAAAAGCTCTATGAGCTCTAAGAAACTGCATGGTTTTTTGTTTAATGTAATATAGGAGGCCCTCCACCTTCTCAAGGAGTATATTCCAAACATTTTTGTGAATGTCCAAGTTTGTGAAACTACTAGAACATAATGCAATGAGGTGTAATTACAAAATTTAAATGACCTCTCGAGAGTTGTTTTGAATACCTGGTGGTACTTAGCCAGTGGCAAAGCCACACTGAGTTAACAGGTGCCAGCCCTTCTGACTGCTAAGTAACTTGCCTTACATACTAGTCCTTCGCTTTTGAGGTTCAAATTAGTGCCTCAGAAATTGTCATGTTTTATTTTTTTAGCATAGATTGGGGACACTTGAAAACTCTTAAATCCTCAGATGCCAGGGGTCTTCTATAGTATCAGTAAGTGTTTAGCAGAAACTAACTCCATAATGAATGGAATTCAATTCCACACATGGTTTGTTCAAGCACACTTAATAAGTAGCCTGTTTTTTAAATGTCTTTTTTAAATGTAAATATTTGGATGAAGTTTTTGTTTCTTTTGGTATATTCATTTGCTACACCAACCATGGTTTCAGAATTCACCTTTTGAATAGCTTGGTTTCAGAATTTGTAAAATGAGCTAAGAATCTTGTGTATCAAACCTGTCACTCAGATGTGTGAGAATAATGTGTTTATAAAGCATGGATCTTGCTTTGGTTGTATAGCTTCATCATTCATTTCACGGTCTTACATAGTAAGTGACTTTTAAGACTATTCTTGCCCTCTAAAGTGGCGTCCGAGGAGGGGGGAGAGGGAAATGGGACCTCCAAGGTAGAAGCCTGAGGAAAATAGAAATCAGAAGGAAAGGAGCATTGACTTGATTTTGGTGAAGTTTTAAATTTTAAATAAGCTTCACAAAATAGTGACTGATAGGAAGAAAAGGCAAATTTAGATCTTAAAAAAATATATATTAAAAAGCCACTTCCTTAAATGTTTATTTGCAGTGCATCACCGGAAGTTGTATTTTGGCTCTGTTGGGGAGTCGTAAATGGTGGTAATGTGACATTGAAACCTTTGTTTAATGACTTGTGTTATTTTGGAGGTACGGTAGGAGATAAATGTCATAATATGCAAGGCCCTTATATAGCATTCATCTTTTGTGGTACAATGATATCCATACCCTTGGTATGAAGGAAAATTTACTTGGTTAGTGCATTTAAATAATGATGTAATTTTTTTTTTTTTTTTTACCATGAACTCAGCCATACATATCATCTCTCACCAAGATTTTGATGGGTTACCCCCTTGATTTTTCAGTTTTTTAGTTCCAAAATTAGAAGTTAGCTTAAATTTGAGAATGTTTCCAGATGCACTTGAAGTAATTTACTGCAGTGTTGGACAGCAGCATTGATAGCTGTACAATCAATAAGTTTGCTCTTATTTTATTAAATAAAATCCTACTTTTATTTGAACTAGTATCTCCAGCTTAGTGAAAAGCAGCGTGACACATGCACAAGACCCTTGTGACTAGTATAAGTGGAATATTAGGTCTTGTTAAGCTGATATGTGTATATATCTATGAACATCATCCTTAGAGGATAGTAGGAGGGAAGAACAAGACTTAACTGACTTGCAAACATCTAAATAATAATTTCTTTGGGGCTCTTATGAACTTTACTAGTTAGTATTTGTGATGATTTTATCCTTTTTCATTTACACAAAAGCCTGGACTTTTACAGTAATTATATAATCTGAAGTTCTGGAGTTTTTCTTTTTTCAGATTTTGGAATTATTTAGGAATATGGCTCTAAGGTTTGGGTACCATTTATCTGCTTTCTTTAAGGCAGTAGGAAAGGAAGACATTCATTAAAATCAGCCACGGGGCCAGCCTGGTGGCATAGTGATTGAGTTCACCTGCTCTGCTTCGGAGGCCCAGGGTTTATGAGTTCACATCTCGGGCGCAGTCTTATATACCACTCATTAAGCCATGCTGTGGTGCCGGCCCCGTGGCTTAGCGGTTAAGTGCGCGTACTCTGCTACTGACGGCCCGGGTTCGGATCCTGGCCGCGCACCGACGCACCGCTTCTCCGGCCATGCTGAGGCCGCGTCCCACATACAGTAACTAGAAGGATGTGCAACTACGACATACAACTATCTACTGGGGCTTTGGGGAAAAAAAGGAGGAGGATTGGCAACAGATGTTAGCTCAGAGCTGGTCTTCCTCAGCAAAAAGAGGAGGATTAGCATGAATGTTAGCTCAGGGCTGATCTTCCTCACAAAAAAAAAAAAAAAAAGCCATGCTGTGGTGGTGTCCCATGTACAGAGTGGAAGAAGATCGGCACAGGTGTTAGCTCAGCGACAGTCTTCCTCAAGCAAAAAGAGGAAGATTGGCAACAGATGTTAGCTCAGAGCCAATCTTCCTCACCAAAAAAAAAAAAAAAAAAAGGGAAAATTAAAATCAGCCATGTGCTGTGTTCTGTTGGGCTTTTTCCATTCATCATCTTAGAAACCTTCACAACAACCCACTAAAAGAGGATGATGCTGTTCTCATTTTATAGATGGAAAAAAAACCTGAGTTTTAAGTAGGTTACATATTGAATATGAATTCAGAGCTGTCTTATTCTAAAACCTTAGACATTCTTTCCCCTGCACCATTTTTAAGATGGAAAGTTTATAAAACCAAGCATTTACAAATACTTGGTTCTGGATTACAAATACTGCATTCTGGAAACCTCACTACTGAATATATTATATATATATGTATATCTCCTTACTGTACTGTACAATAGTGTATAAATGCCCCTCAACTCTAGAACACTATAAAACCCCAAAGAGTCTTCTGAGCTGTTATAAATTGATTTGTGTGTTAATGTTTGTGGTATGTATATATACTTATTTGAAATTTGACACTTCATTTTTTATATGATAATTCAGTTATCCACAATACCCTGTTTAATCTCTAGTAGTGAAATACCTCTTCACATGTCCCTCTGATTAACAAAATCATGGTCTTTAAAAACATTTTCTTCAAGATAAATTTCTTCGTTTGATTGGATTTTGAGGTTGTAAAGGGTTGAATAATTCTTCTTCATGTTGGAGATGAGAGTGAAGTATCTGTTCTTGGGCTGTACAACCAGATAAGTGATAGGACTGGGATTATAGGTTAGGCCTCTGTCTTGTCTACTTTCTGTTCAAATATGGATTTCCCTTAATAGGCACAATGGAGCGTTAAAAGGAAAATCTAGTATCACCTAGAAAACAGGAAGGACAATCCATACTTCAAGTTCGTAAATCACAGCCAAAGATGATTTGACTAGGCCTGTTTTTGTTCCTCTGCTGTCTCTTGTTTGCCTTTTATCCCTACCTTCTAGTTTGCAGTTGTCATGTGGAAACCTATCACAAGTGTTTAAAGAAAGCAAGAAAATATGGCCAGTTTTCATTTGCCATTCTTCTATGGGATTGTGTTCAGAAATATTCCTGGTGATAACCCAACATCATTGGCAATTCTCTGAGGCTGAACAAAGAGAAGTGTTATGGTGTGCTAGCTTGGGGAGTAGAATATAGTCAGCCCTGGCCATAGCCAGTGGTCACCTTGAGAAGGCAGCTCATCTCTGGAGTCTCAGTGTGTTCTTTTTTAATTGCGAGATACTTGAACGAGTGTCAATCCCAAATTGTCTGATTCTCTTACCTACATACCCATACCTAATACAATGTTGTTAAATGATTCTTCGTTAAATTTGATTTACTTAGCAAAAGAAAAAAGAACTGAGGTATAGAACGGACTCGTGTCAGGCTGCCTGGACTCAGCATAGCGCGCGCACTTAACCGCTATGCCATGGGGCCAGCCCAAAACATTTTATTTTTTATTTTTTTTGTGTGTGAGGAAGATCGGCCCTGGGCTAACATCTGTGCCCATCTTCCTCCACTTTATATGGGACGCCGCCACAGCATGGCCTGACAAGCAGTGCCTCGGTGTGCGCCTGGGATCCGAACCCGGGCCGCCAGCAGCAGAGCACGTGCACTTAACTGCTACGCAACAGGGCCGGCCCATGGCTGCCTGGATTCAAATCCCAGCTGCCTCTTAGTTGGAGGCAAGTTACATAACCTCCCTGGGCTTCAGTTTGGGGTGCCTACCTCCTAGGGTTGTTAGGTGCTTAGAACATTGCCTGGCATGTAGAAAGCCATGGAAGTGGTTGCTGCTGCTGTTGTAGAACACCGTATCATAATAACATCCATGAAGCATGAGAGGGGGGCATGTTCGTGTACTTCCTGGGCTTCTATGTGGAGTGACAGGTAAATTCCACTGAATGGAAGAGTTAAACAGTATGCTTTTTTTGTGTGTGTGTGAGGAAGATCAGCCCTGAGCTAACATCTGATGCCAATCTTCCTCTTTTTGCTGGGGAATATTGGCCCTGGGCTAACATCCATGCCCATCTTCCTCTGCTTTATATGGGACGCCACCACAGCATGGCTTGACAAGCAGTGCGTCGGTGCACACCCGGGATCCGAACCCGCGAACCCCGGGCCGCCAAAGCGGAGCGCCTGCACTTAACCGCTACGCCTCCAGACCGGCCCCAGTAGTGTGCTTTTTAAACTAAAGAGTGAAAGTCTTAAGATCTACATGTAATGTGGCTAGCTGTGGATTTAATAACGAACCAGAGTGATAGGGCTGCCCAGGGGAGTTTTTGTTGTAATAACTGTTAGAACCTACACGTGCAGTCGAGAATTATCTGTTTCAGAACACTTGGAGAGGCCGCATGTTTTTCAGGGATGCTGTTGCTGTTCTAAACATTCGTGAAACTCCTCTCAGAATTTCCTTCAGCTTTAGTCTGTGAGCCACCCAGAGAGAATCAATCTTATTTATGGTTTTTCAGAAACCCATTTGTCTGATAATCCATCTTATTCACATTTATCAAAATTAGTGCTCAAGCTCTAAAGGTGTTTTAGAAAGGAGTATGGGAAATATTTTAGTGGGGCATAGTGTTGGGATTGAGCAGGTGTGTATGAAGCTTCTTCTCTGTGCTCGTCCACATGCATTCTCACTGAGTCCTCCCAGCCACCCTTGAGAACCGCACTATCCATGGTGAGACAGCCTCGGAGCCCAGAGGCGCCTGCACTTCAGAGCCAGTCCCCTGCTACCCCAGCTTTGTTGGAGGAGGATACACGAATACTGTGACAGGGAGCACATTCACATTAACACACAAAATACACCTGCTGTGTTCTAGTTGCACCACTTAGGGTTTGCTTGATATTTTCTCTGAGGTAGGTGTCTTCTAGCTATCACAGCCAAAAGTCTAGCTACACTTATAAATACTCAGTCTTGACAGTGGCGCTCTTGAAGGACCTGTTGCCGTCGTCCTCAGTGGAAGATCTAAAGCAGCTGGTCCTCAGGACACGTGAGAACAGGACTGTGTCCCCTTGAGCTCGCACGTGTGCAGTTTATTATTAGAGTTGCATGTATTTTCAAGTCTTCCATTTAGTATTTTATCTTGTTCATAATTGAGTGACCTTTTCATGGCTAAAACATACTGGTTACATATTTAGAAAATTTGCCCCTACAAGCTGATGGCACTGTGTCTCCACTAAGTGGGAAATAAGATCTAGAGCAGGCTGTCGTCTGCTATCTTGACGCTGTCTGCAGAGAAGGCAGTGGTGGGAGGACCACTCTGAGTGGCGGTATGAGAACGTTTATCTTGACTTTCCTTAGTTGAATTCC